TGAACCACTAGATTAATGACAACTCACGTGGTCCTGCACGTCGACGTAGGCGCCAAAGTGCAGCCAGGGAAGCTGTCGCGCCATTGAGTCGTGCCGTGATTTCGCCTTTCTTCTGAGGTACTCGGCCTTGAAGTCACATTCGTCAGCCATGCGTTGCCACTCTGGAGCAAACAAGCGATGACGAGCAGGTACTGCCGACCTCAAGGGATGACCAAACAGTACGTGCGCTGGTGACCTCCCTTCAACACAAGGCGTATTCCTCAGCTCCAAAAGTCCACGGGCAATTCGTCCTCATCGAGGTGTCCCTTCCGTGTTGTCGACATTATCAGCTTCTTCACCGTCTTGATTGCAGCTTCTGCATCTCCGTTGGCCAGAGGAATGTACGGCGAAGTCACCCGGTGATCCACCCCCCACCGAGCCAGGAAGCGGCCTAACGCAGATGGCGTGAATTGGGGACCTCCATCGGTCCTCAGGACAACGGGCACGCCCATGTCTGCGAAGACAGATCGCAGGACACTGACAAGATTGAGCCGTTGACGCTGTCCGTGGGCACGCTAACACATATGGACACCCGGACATATAGTCGACATACACCAGATAGGACAATCAGCCACATGAAAGTAATCAGCAGAAACTGACTCGAAGAGTCTACTTGGTGGGCCATCATCCTGCCACAAGGGCTCGTTCTGCTGCTTAGTTAAATGACAAAATATTTATCTCAGTGAGTCAAGCAGACTCTGGCAAGAAATTTTTGGCACATGACACCAGGAAATATGCAGGGTCTGTGGCCTTTCTGTAGCATATGATCCTCAGTCAGATCAAAGAAGCGGGCTTTTGGAAATCTTCAAAAACTTTTCAAAACAGCTATCTTCATCTATCTCTGAAAGATGCTTCATATGTGGTAGTACTGGGGTCCCCTCCCTCACCTAGTTAATCTCCACAACCAGGACCTTCTTCTTCCTCATCAGAGTAAAGTAAGTATCCTAATTGGGATATGTAAATTAACATTTTACCTTCCGGTAAATGTTCCTAATATTGGAAAATATTCCAAAAAGTTTATAATTATAATCTGGACCTAAGCTAGCGGAGCCTTATACGCAATGTCACCTCCCTCTCCACCTCTTGCTCGGGTAATCAAAGCTAGACGTCGCATTCTGGATTGAAGAAAAAGACTTTTTTTTCTAAAATACAGTTTTTGTGATAAAGATCAGAATGCGAAGTCGACTTCCCACCCATTTCCACCACTCGAGAGTTGACATTTGTTTACTGCTTGCTCTAGGGCAAGAGATAATGGTAGCAATGCGTGTAATGGAGGGTGCGGGAGGGGATTTTGAGAATTGCAATTAATGCCAGGTAGCGACGTGTCCTCCTAATATTACGTATTTAAGTAATTATTAGATGTTTTAATTGCCTGTTTGTTGGCTTGGCGAGTTAATGCTAGGCCTTTACATACCTAGGTATAAAGATAGACGTCGCATTCTGGATTGAACAAAAAAAGATCTTTTCTTTTGAGCTCGGGGGTCCAGGGAAACACCTACCCGGGAAGTTTTTACCATATTAAAGTTAATTTCTCACATTGTTACGGTACTCATTTCGTTAGCGCCTAAAAGTTAAAATACACAGTATCCAAAATCAAACATGTCTGTTTATTGCAACAATATTTTTCTTGTATACAGTGGTCCCTCAACTAACAAATGGTTCAATTCGTGAAATTTCGGTTAACGAATTAGCTCCCATAAGGATTTTCAGTTCCATTAACGAACAAAACTTTGATTAACAACAGCCTTACAAGAAACACGCTACGTTGTGTGCATCAGCTGATCGGCTAGTCTGCCAATACAGTTATTGGTACTATGTATACATTCGTTTCCAGTGGAGTAAATATCAAGAAAGTTGTACTCTTGAATATTTTTGCATTTTTTATATTAAAATTATTAGTCATCCTGAAATCTAGCTAACATATTGATAATATACAGTGCAAAAATTATTATGAAACACGAAGAAGGCATTAGAACCAATGCACTCCGTAAAGAATATGGCATGTCATCATCGACTACCTCTACAACCAGCTGTTAGTATGTAAACAAAGCTGCCGGGAAAACGACATACACACCTCATATAAGTTAAAATACAGTATTCTATAGTTTTTTATTTATTATTATACAGTATACTGTACAGTACAGTACTGTATTTAGATTATATTTAATGTTTTGTTAATTCTATTACCAGTATACAGTACTTTGTATGTACAGTAGAATGTCGATATAACGTGAGATACGTTCCAAGAGAGGTCACATTAAATTGAATTCGCACTAAATCGAAGTGTTGTTTTAATGGAATATTTTACTTTGGTACTTGAGAGAAACACAAAATACTAATATGACTGACAGTCTACCCAGATGCACTTCAGCCTATCTCCTAGAATAAACAAAACATTGTTTTTTGTAGTATTATGTTAAAACAAACACTCATAAATCAACACAGCTAAATTAAGGGATGCGAAATGGTCTGTTTACTGGCTGGGAATATGGGGGGGGGGTGAAAAGTGAGGTGATATGTTTGACAGTTGATGCCAAGGCCAAGTGCTTATTTATTTATCTGTCCTTAAGAGTGACTAAGTTTTCTCTTATAAAATGTCACTGAATTGGCATGGAAGAATATAATTAGCATTGCTGGAATTCTTATAAGATAGTACAGTAAAACCTCGATCAACCGACCACATATGGGGGGAAGGGGCCGACGGATAATCCAAAAGGTCGGTTAATAGTACATAAAGTCTACGGAAATAAAACATATTTTCAAAATACCTTTCCCTACCTTACTTCATTTAAGTCCCTCTATTCATTTTTGTTCATTTGCCATTCATATTTCAATAGAATTTGCTTTAAAACATTATCCACTTTAGTTAACAAATATGAACCAGCACAGAAACCGTGAATAAAAAATGGAAAAGTCAAAGAACATATGGCATCACAAAAATTGTGACCAAGTCCCAGGTTGCTCATCTGACTTTCTGCCTCATTTACACACAATTGCAGGGTCTCAATTGTTTCTCTTACTATTGACAACACAACATACATACAGGTACATTGTTTCTCACTCTTGAGTTTTTCATTTTTCCATTTCTTTATGGTTCTTTATTACTATTATTATAATTATTATTATTATCATTATTAATATTATTGCATTATCGCCCCCCAGGCCCCGATGTGGGTCAGTGACCTGTGCCCAGGTGGGCTAATCCCTGTTAAAAAAAGAAAAAAAAAAATGGGGGTGTTCGGGATTGACGGTTAATACGAAAGTCGGTTAATCGAGGTTTTACTGTAATTAATTTGAATATAAACATGCTATAGCTTGCATTAGACATACAAATTTTAGTTCGAATTTAAGAATTTTATTACAAAAACCAAAATTTTTTATCTCTAGTGCAAAATATATGAAGTTTATATTCAAATTATTCACTGTCTTGCAAGGATTCCAGCAATACAAATTATATTCTCCTAACTTTAGTCTGTGATATTATATAAGATAAAAACTGTAAGCCTAAAACACCAAACCCTGGCTGGGAAGATGGGGGGAGGGAGGGAAGGGAGGGAAGTGACAGTTTATGTTTTTTTATTATAAAATGTCACAGAAGTGACCGGGGAGAATATAATTTACATTTCTGGAATTCTTATAAGATAGTGATTAATTTGAATACAGTATAAATAAGCTATAATTTGCACTAGACAAAAATTTTAGTAAACATTTAGTACATTATTTTGAGTACATGTACAGTACAGCTTTGCCCTTCGGACAGTGTAGCATGAGCCAGAGAAGCATTAGGCGCAAAATTTTAAATATGATGCACCAGATTGACTCACACAAAATAGGAAAGCTTCGCTTTAAATTAAAACATTATCCTTAATTGTGGGCGTTGCTTTAAATCAATAATCTTAAATTGAATCACTTTAAATCGATGTCCTACTTTAATATGTATTAGTACAGCCGAGTACATTATTTTCACCCTTGTATATGTGTTTTGTGTTAATTTTGCTTTAAGAATATTATATAAAAATCATTTGCATATTTTTCACATGCTACCCTTTATACTGTGTTGGGTGTTGTCATGTCAACCATGAGTGTGGAGTCAAATATTCAATTAAGCAAAGTAATGCTATAATAACTAAACCTACAATAAAATTTAACAGCTAGAAAAGTTCACAAACAGATTGTCATTTGTTACGTAATTGGGCATGCGTATTACAAGGTATTATAATGAAATAATTTCAATCAAAAAGCCCCTAGACACACACAGGTAAAGAAATCATTTTAATTTTGATATAAAAAATAAAGAAAGGAACTCCAGACATCTGCCTTGTTAGTTGCTCATTTTCTGTAACACTTGTTATTTACCTGACCTGATGTTATGTAAGGTCACTCATTGTATATAAGCCTCTCTCAGTCCTGTACATTCAGTTGACTCTGAAGATGTCTTGAATAAAGACAAAAGCTAAGGTGCTCCAGTGTAGTTAGTTGACCGAGAGGAAGCAGTGAACAACACACGTGGTGGTGGCAGGACACAGACTGAGCGGATGTAAACAAATCCGACACGCCAAGCGACGTGTGGCGCGTTTGGTGCAGAATTTAACGAAATCACACTCGATTTATGAAATAGTTTGGTAAATCGAGAGAAAATAACTGAAATTCGATTCAGCGGAAATTTTGATTTAAAAGAAAGGGGCAGCTCGAATTAGTTCGTCAAATCGAGAAAATACTGCATGTGAAAAAAAGTAGCCATACATTGTGAATAAGTCCTTAATTTACTCCAGTAAATTATTCAATGTTTTTCATACCTTAAATGTTTGAGGCATTGGGAAGGGAGGGGGGGGGCAAAGAAGGTGCATTAACCATTCAAATATGGTACTGTACTCATTGTTCACAAACAGCTCTATCCTACATATGATCATATACTAAGAAAACAGTAAGCAATTCTAGGGGTACAACAGTTTCTATCTTACCATATTCATCTTGTTCTTCACGTGTAATATTGAGTTTCTTTGCTGTATTCTCTCCGCAGTTACCCATGTGAAAATTATTGTAGACATCTGTCAGCCCATCATACAAAATTCCATCCTGTAAAAGAGAGCATTACTTAATAAAGAAAACTTTGTTCCTCTAAACCAGACTTCTAAAATAACTAAATAAATTTACTTGAGTACTGTACATGAGTAACATTTTTAGGTATTTACTTTTTAAAAGTACAGTAAAAGACCAAAAATTCGGATGCCAGAAATCCGGACCACCTGAGAATCCGGACTTTTCGAAAACTCAAACTTAACTTTTTTTTTTTAGCTGGCTTTTGTGTGCATGCGTGAGCGCCACAGCTGCACAGCGACCACGCGGTCGCCACTTTAAAACGAGCAATCAAACTGTGACAACGTATGTAATTTTGAATCCTACTCATTCCATTTACAGAGTACTGTACAAGCCCATAATAATGGCTCCTAAAGTAGATAAACTTCGTTGTGTGAAGAGAAAAAGAACACTTTGAAATTGAGTGACAAACTTGAAATAATTAAGAAACTAGAACGTGGTGTGAGCAATACTGTTCTAATGGAAACATACGACATTGGAAAGTCTACAATTTATGATATAAAAAAGGCAAAGAATAAAATTTTAGAATTCACAGCTTTATCTTTAAAACTGCTCGTTTTGATAAATGAAGCATGCTATATTTGCTAATGAATAAACTATCAAAATGTACCTGTTCATCTCTTCTATATTTCTCCTGAAATTTGAATTTTAAAAGTACTGCCTGAGAATCCGGAAAATCCGAAAATCTGGACCGACCCAATCCCCAAGCAGTCCGGATTTTTGGACTTATACTGTACTCAAATTTTTTTGTACAGTATACTTTCGATTTAAGGGAATCCTATATAACGAACTCTCAATTTAGCGGAAGGCATTTTTCGTTATTTTTTCCTCGATTTAATGAACAGTCATGCGCCGGTTAACGTCCTATATACGTTCTTGGAAACGTGACGTTAACCGAAATGAACGTTGTCCGATCATCACAAAAACTTTGTCTTTATACTTATGTGTATGTGGAATACTATAAATGTACATATACACTCTTACTCTTAAATCACTACTGTAATGTGATACAAGGATTAATTTTTATCTCTTGTGCAAAATACATGACGTTTATATTAAAATTATTCACTGTCTTACAAGGATTCCAGCAATGCTGGGCAGATGGGGGAGAGAGAGGGAGGGAGGGAGCGTGGGGTGGAGGGGAGCGGGAGGTGAGGTGGTACGTTTGACAGTTGGCGCCCAAGGTCTAACACGTGTTTATTTATCAGTTCTTAAGTGACTAAGCTTCTCTCTTATAAAAAGCCAGTGAAATGACCTGGGTGAATATAATTTACATTGCTGGGATTCTTGTAAGATGTTGATTAAATTAAATATAAACAACCTATAATTCGCACTAGACATAACAATTTTAGTACCGTAATCAAATTAGTACATGTGCACTCCAGCTTTGCACTAAGGTCATTTATTTCTTTTATGTTTCTTTTAGTATGGTGTGTGCATGTAAATGGATGAAAATAAATGAAGAAATTTATGTAAATCTACCCAAAAATACAGTTGAAAAACTTTATACAGGTAGTCCCCGACTTACGACCGACTCAACTTACGTCCATCCGCACTTACGACCTGCTATGACCTTTTGACCGTCGGGACATATGACCGCTGCAGTCGTGACCAAAAATATTTTCAAATGACGCGCGCATTTTCTGTACCGAAACGTTTCCGTCCGGGGCGAGAGTGTGGCTCGCTTGGGTCACAGCGTGTTTACACTCACTCAGTACAGCGCTTAGTTGGTGTTTGGCTATCGTATCCTATACTGATCACGCTGTGTACTTATGTTATTATCATATTTAATTGACTTTATAATGAGTGGAAAGCATACAAGAGAGAGTGCTGGTGGTGCTCCAAAGAAAAGGAGACAGGCAATTCCTTTTGAGATGAAAATGAAGATAATAACACAGTATGAGAATGGAAAAACTGTAGCAATCTCCGCCGACCTAGGTTTTCACACTCGACCAGTATCACTATTCTGAAGGACAAGGAATGTATTCGTGAGGTAGTGAAAGGAACAACACCTATAAAGGGAACTATAATTTTGAAGAAAGACAAGGTCCTATTCCACGATATGGAAAATTATTGGTGATATGGATAGAAGACCAGATAAGCGTGTATAAAGCCTTCTAACCTTAGAGGCTAAGCAAAACCTGTTCCAAACCCTGAAGGCACAGGCAAGAGATGAATGTGAGCAAACCTTTACTGCAAGTCATGGGTGGTTAATAATTCGCTACAGTTTACACAATGTTAAGGTGGTGGAGAGGCACCTAATACTGATGTTGGTGCTGCCAAAGCCTTTAAGAAGGAGTTAGATGATGTGATTGTGGGAAGGAATTATTTGCCTGAGCAAATATTCAGTGTGGATGAGACTGGATTGTTGTGAGCGCATGCCTGAGCGGATATATATCCACAAGAGGTGAAAACAATGCCAGGATTCAAAGCATTCAAGGACAGAATTACACTTCGGTGGGGGAATGTAGCTGGTTTCAAGATAAAGCCCTTCATGATCTATCATTCAGAGAACCCAAGTTCTTTTAAACATGTCAGCAAGCACACACTGCCAGTGTTTTATCGAAGTAACAAAGCATGGATGACCCTAGTACTGTTTGAGGATTAGTTCATAACTTCTTTCATTCCATGAGCCAAGAAGTATTGTCTGCAACAAAGTTCCATTCAAGATTTTGCTCCGGGACACCCACCACCCTGGACGACATGCACCTTGATGTTAAGGTAGTGTCCACTAACACTACCTCTGTCCAACCCATGGATCAAGGTGCTATTGCTGCCTTTAAAGTGTATTATTTACGTCAACTCCGCTCAGGTTGTTGCTGCTACTGAAGGTGAAAACGCTTAGAGAGTTTTGGAAGGAGTACAACGTTTGTCATGTATAAAGAACATTAGTGCAGCATGGGATCAGGTTACAAACAATGCATGAATGAATATGGAAGTCCTGAAAAAGATATGTGAACAGTTTCAGTTTAATGAAAATGAAGTTATTTCAGATATTAGTAACAAGATAGTGGAGTTAGATGAACAGCTCCAGTTAGAAATTGATAATGAAGATGTTGAACAGTTGGTTGAAAGTGTGCAGAAGAGCTCAGTAACGAGGATCTTATCGAACTGGAAGCACACAAAGATGCAGAGGAAGAAGCTAGTCTAAATGTAGAAGAAGGACCTGCACCCCAAAAAGTTTTCAGTGAAGCAAATTGTAGTGATGGTTTGTCAGACCACAGCTTACATCTCAGAAACTCCAGTCTGACCGGACATTAGGGAGGTCAAAAGTGTAGGGTAACTCTGCGGTTGACCAAGGATTGTAAATCAACTAGCTCCCCCTCCCATGTCACACATGTAAGAGGGCACCAGCCGGCTCTCTCCCAATATACACAATGTCCTACACCGCAGAGGGGGGGCCAGTCTTGACCCGACATTAGGGGGGTCAAGTGTAACTCTCACGGTGGACCTGGAGTTACAAATCAACTAGCTCCCCTCCCATGTGACATGTCACCACAACAGACATGTAAGAAGGCACCAGCCGACTCTCTTCCAATATACAATAACCTACTCTCTGAACAAAGGCCGGACCTGACCTCACATTAGCCAGGTCAAATGTAACCCTCGGAGCCCAACTCAAGGGGCCACAAATCAACCAGGGCCTCTCATGTCACACGGCCCCACCTGATGACTTTCCCAGATAGTTTCTGAAAAGTCCAGACCTGACCTCACATTGGCTAGGTCAAATGTAAGGAGACCCTTCGCCGCCCCCCCCCGACCAGCTGAACCTGACGGCTCGCCTCCCAATATATAGGACGTGCTAGTCCTCCCTCGGTTAATTCGCAGAGAGAGAGTTGTCTTGTAACAAGGTGGCCAGCTACTACACCACCAGGCCTGCTCGAGAGAAGTCAAGGGCCGGAGGCAAGTCGCCTCCGGTCTGGACCGAGACTTCCCTCCGGCGACCAGCTAAGCAGTCTCCCATAGAGACAACCCAGGACTACCTGCTAGGCCTCCCCTAGGTCACGTGAGTGTTTGTCAGAGCTTTCCATGGGATGAGTTACCTACGTGGGAAGTGTATTCATTTCAAGTTCGTGTCCGAGAATCAGAGTGTCTAGTAACGTAAAATGATGTCCTAGTAACGTAAATATAATGTCCTAGTAACTTCAATAGAAGGTGTTATTAATGTGTCCATGTCATGTTCGTGATTAATAAAGAGTTGTAACGAAGCAGTGTTTGAGAAGTCGCCTTTAAGAACGTAATAGATGTGTATTGACGTGTAAGACACGACCAGTGTACGATAAGAGTAAATAACTATCACGGCCACGCTACCAAAATCTTCCTCTCTTTATACTCTTATACTATCAATATTCTACCTATATGTAATCTTCTTCTTGTGAATATTTTGTAGCATTACAATGGCGGCAGCGCACTTAAAGTAAGAACTCACGCCTCTTAACTTTAGTGTTCAGTACAGTGATAGTTAGAATCTTTTGAAGTAATCTCGTAACTATCTTGACGAAGCAGGCAGTACAAGGGTGGTTGCATTCGTAACATTATATTGGTGACAGCGAACTATATGTAATTCACGCTTCCCTCGTCCCTTGTTATTGGTAACAGTGTACTTAACGTAAACCCATGCCCTCCCTCATTTTAGCCATAACACCTGACTCGTTGTTTGAGCATTGTTCGAAAGTGCGTGATAAGGAGTTCATGCAAGATATAGTTTCATTATATTGGCGGCAGCGTACTATATGTAACTCACGCCCTCATTGTCCCTTGTTAATGGTGACAGCGAACTATATACGTTAATTCACGCCTTCCTCGCTTAGTTATTATAATGGTAGCAGCGAACTTAACGTAAACTCACGCCTTCCCTCGGTTAGCCATAACACCTGGCTCGTTTCATCCTTCATTTGATTCAGTCTAAGTTTGTCTACAATTATGTAATAAGTAATTCCTGTAATAAATGGCATTCGTGGCGTGAAAAAAAGTGTCTC